AATTATGGGAGCTTTCACGATGGCAACTTTAAAAGTTTTCAAATAAAGCAACAGCTGCAATTTAAGCAACAGAGATATGTGTCTGCACGTGCCTTATTCCTCCTGCTGCAGGGTCAATGACTGACCTTGCTTTTGGTAGTGACAACTCACAACTTTTTGCCAGGATGCTCAAAATTCACCACTGGGGCTGTGAGAAACCTCTGGGCAGGCTCTCAGCTGACAAATGTGCCTGATCATGAGCTCTTGCATTATTATCCAGGGCTGGTTGTGCTTGGCTAACACTTGCCACTCCCCACACGGCCACTCAGTGGGATACACCTGAGAAGGAATGCTGCTGAAGTCTGGAAGAGCAAGAGGTGCAGCCTGGGAGGTGGATGGGGCAGAGTCAGAAAGGCTGGGGCTGGAGAGGAAGTTCAGCAAGGCAGCAATGGAGCAGCAGGAACATCACCAGCTGTTCCTCCACGGATGTGTCTCAGCAGCAGGAAATGAGAGAAAAAGCAGCATGACCACTGTTCCTCCCCAAAGCAAAATTTCTGAGGCATGTGAATATGTTAGTGGAGCACAAGGGTTCACCCTGCCCCATTGACTCCCAGCCACCAGCACGGGGGTTTACTGCTGCACAGGGAGTCTCCAGGCAGAGCACGGTGTGAACAGGGTGTCCTGAGCTTGAAAGGATGCATTCAAAGCCCCAGAAAAGACAAGCCCTTATAAAATCATTTTATAAGGGATGAAGCTCCTGCCTGTGCTACAGCTGCACTCCCACTGTGTGCCAGAGGCAAGGCTGAACACTCTCTTGGTGATGGGGAGTAGAAAATGAGCAAAAAGAGTCCACACATCTCTCCTCTTCATGGGGACCTCATGATTGACTAGTCTGCATCACCATCACTTCCCTTCCCACACCAAGGGAGAATCATAGGGAGAATGGTTTGGGTTGGAAGGGACCTTAAAGCTCATCTTGTTCCACCCCCCTGCTGTGGGCAGGGACATCTTCCAATAAAACAGGTTACTCCAAGCTCCATCCAACCCGGCCTTGAGCATTTCCAGGGATGGGGCAGCCACAGCTTCTCCGGGCAACCTGTGCAGGTGCCTCACCACCCTCTGAGTAAAGAACTTCCTAAACCTCTAACCTATACCTCTCCTCTTTTAGTTTAAAACTGTTCCCACTTGTCCTATCACTATCTGTCCATGTAAGAAGTTGCTCCCCACTTTTTGATGAGCCTCCTTTAAGCACTGGAAGGTCACAATGAGTTCTCCCTGAAGCTTTCTCCAGGGAGACCTCAGGAGGGAGGGAGCATCGCTGCTGAAGGCACGTGAGGGGTTCCATCAGCTCTGTGAGCAGCCAACGCCAGCTGGGCCGTCCAGCTCCGCCGACAGGAAACCATTAAAGGGTGAGTCACTGCTCCAGCCCGAACTGGTTATGGCTCTGCTGACTCAGCAAAAGTGGGAAACACCAGGGGAAAGCCACCGTGGCTCTGAGTCAGGGCAGCTGTAACAAGGGGGCTCGTCAAGGGGTGGGGGACAAGCGAGGCGAGGGGGTGGCAGGTGAGGAGGAGAAACGCCGGTGGCTGATTTCAGCACAGACAAGGCAGCGTGCTGAACATCAGCTCCTTTGTGCAGGCTGTGATTCTGACCTGATCACAGAAAGCTACTAAGTCTGATTTCTTTTGTCTTGGGGATTGAGCTGAATTTTTGTGGATGCAGGAAAAACGTGTCTCCAGGAGTTTCAGCCTCCAGCACAAGGGCATGTGTTGGCTGGAAAGCACTTGCTAGTGGCATGGGTGTCCTGGCACTGATTTGCAGAGGTAAAGCTGTATATTTAGTAGCTTTTTGTAGGGGTTACATAGGTGACTGTGCAGTTGAGGAGGCACCTCTGCTGTAGGGAGAGGAGAGCGCGGATGCACAGGAATTATGGGAGCAGGACAATCATCTCTATGCCAGCCCAGCTTCCACACTAAGGGGAGATGAGATGGCTAAATTCCCTGGACTTACCTTTTCACCCTTTGGCCCTGGTGGTCCAATTGGCCCCGGTGGTCCTGCATGTCCCTGTGGAGAGCAGACAGCACGTGAGGAGGCAGGAAAGAGCTGTTGGACTGAAAGACCTCCCTGGTTCCCTGCCAGGTCTCCCAAACCCTGTGTGGTGCATCCCAGCTTCAGAGGGACACAGGGGTTGTGGCAGAGACAGACCAAATGTATGTTGATAAGCCATGATGGTGTAAATGGAGACTAGACAAAGAACTAAACTCGAGATCGGAAATAAATCATAGTTTACGAACAATTTGCATCCTGGAGTGACCGTTTTGTTGCATTTGAGAACAGATAAAAGCTGGAAGACAAAAATAAACCCCTTACCTGGTAGCCCTTTAAGCCTGGGTCCCCTTGAGCACCCATCCTTCCTGGAGCTCCCTGGAGAGGCAAGCACAGACGGACCGTGAGAGCAGCCCGTGGTGTCACCCCATGAGAAGAGGATGCACTGGGCTATGCAAAGCAAAGCTCAGCACCAGGTGGGAGTGTGGCAGCCCCTCCTCCTGGCCACCTGTGAGCTCTGCTGCAGCCACCTGTAGGGCTCTTGCTCGGCTTTAACCTCTTACACATGGAGGGGGAGGTCAGGAGTCTGATCTATGCCTTTGCCAGCCTGCAGCAATAGGTTCCCCACCTCATTCAGATTTGCTACCAGAAATGGCTGCATTTGTGTGCTCTTCATCTGCACTTCTGAACTTCTCTATATCCAAACTAGTGTGGTGCTAGGAAGTCCACCAGTGAGACCATGCTCATGCATGACCTAAACTGTTGGGAGGAAACCTTCCAGTGTGGGTTCTGAAGCCAAGAAGTGAGTTTTCTGCACTGTGATGGGGGCACTGCATGAGCTGTTTATCACACCTTTAGCAGATTGAACCAAAGGGTTTAAATCAGATCATCCGATTTAAGTGAGCCACAGACTTTCCATATAATCCCATTTAGTGTGGATGAAAGCCCTTTACACACAACAGAGAAGTGTCCAGCCCAATAGGCTGCTGTTTAGATGCTCCTTTGCTTCCTTGTGAAATAATCCATGGAAGCTTTGCCAAAGAATATTTAAGTGAGGATATATGGTGAGGCCATAATTTTTAGTGCAGGGAAACACTGTCAGGAGAACCATCACTCTATCACTCATTTGCTACTGCTCTGAAACACCACCGTGACTCCTGCTTCATAAATAACTCCTGCTATTTCACTAAGTTCTACCAGAGTGCAAGAAGTTTCCTTACCAGCCTGCATTGCATGAGGGTTACTTTTACTTACTGCTGCTGTCCCAGGGCATTTTTCTCATGTGCCTAAAGCAAATTAACTTTCTTCTCTCTCTGCCGTATTATTACTATTCTCTCTGAAAGCCTCACCTTCAGTCCCCAGCTCAAACCCTTTCCCATGCTATATTTCTTCTTGCTCCAAGTGTTTTAGATAAGTAGATCAGGAGTGGGTGTAGAAACAGGGCAGAAGTCCAAGGCAGAGTTCCTTATATTAGCAGAGTTCGACTTGGAAGCAGCTCTTGCCATGAGTGTGCAGTCTCAAAGGGAAAGATCTTAGCAAAAAATAGCTTATCAGCTCACTCAGCTCAGGAAAAATCCCCAATATTTCAGCTATTTCAGCCCATCTGGGGAGTTGTGAAAAACCACCACGGTGCAACGTGAGCTGGGCTCACGGGGCACCAACCCAACCACCTCTGTGGAGTCTCTTCTGTGCTGCTCAGAGCAACTTAAGCTCTTTTGGCCAATTAAACCAATCCAACAGCATTTCCCTTTCTGTGCTCTGAAGCCCCTGCTGGGCTCTCTGCTTCATTCAGGCCCGTGCCCACCACTGCCAGTCACGTTTCTGCGTGTTGTGTTCAACCATTTGCAGAGCTCTTCTCACCATAGGTCCCAGGGTACCTCGGGATCCTTTAGGGCCTTGGTTCCCCTTCGGCCCCTCCTTCCCTGGGGATCCAGTCTCTCCAAGCTGCCCCTGGTAGCCCTTGCTGCCCTGCAGAACAAAAGCACTGACATTAGTGTAAGACAAAGCTGCTTCTACAGATAAATGTGAAAGATGAGCAAGGATCAGGAGGTCCAGAGGATTGTCCAGGGAGACATTCTCAACAGGAGATGTTCCTACCTTCTGGCCAGGCTTGCCCTTTTCCCCCTGTTTTCCTGGTTTCCCTTCTGGCCCCTAAGAGAGGGAAAAAAAAAAAAAGCTGTTGGAATGGGAAAACAAAGAAGTCACATCCCAACCAGCCACTCCCAGGCCACTTCCCTGGTACACTCAACCCTGAGAGCATCCTCACCCCCCCTATCCTATTCCCATGGGAGCCATCAAGGAGGACAGGAAGCCATGCAGTTAAGACCACAATTCACAGGTCCTACAGTTGGGGTATGGCTGAGTTTGGTTTGGAGCTGCTCCAACACATGGAGGAGAAGAAAACCTCATTTCTTAAAGGTGTAAAGATCTCTGTGCTCAGGTGACTATTGGGCAACACAGTTGAAAAGTGACACTTCTTATATGGTTTTAGGCTGCTGTCAATAGAACCACTGCCTCCACAGTAATTATCCTTATTTTTTCCTTGTGAAAACAGGCAGTGGTTTCATTCTCTATCCACCTACCATGCACAGCTTTCTGCTCACGTTGGGAACCCCTTCCCTCTATTTGTATTATTGTTAGTGCCACACACAGAAACCACAACATACTGATCCGATGCAAAACTCCAGGTGGGAGCCATGGCAAGCAGAGACAGGAATGCTGAGCTGCTTTGAGCACCCAGTGTGGGTGCAGAACCTGCTGCCCCTCCTTGCACCCACACCACAGAATTAATCTGTGATGAGCAGCTAAATACAGCAGCCTCTCCTCAGGCAGCCCAGGGAGTTCATTTTTTTCAGTGTTTGACCCTGTTGGCTGCAAGGCAGACAGAATATTTTGGATTTGACAGAAAGAAGCAGAAGTATCACTGAAGAAAATAACTCATACTTTCTGGCAATTGTGACAAACTTTTCAACAGCATCTCCACATCAGCCCAGCATCTCTCCCCCTGCTCCCCCTCCTCCCAGTTAAGAAGGTATAATTTTCACCATGGTTGATGTTGCAGTCTCAGATGAATGAAAGCAACTTATAAAGAGAGATGTATCAGGGGGTTTTCACTCTGATCTGAAACACGGGCCTTAGAAGTGCCTGCTCTGAACACAAAGGAGCAATTCAGACTCCTTATAGCCCTAAAGAATTGTGCCAGTTCACTTCCCCAAAGGGGAATAGCTCCATTTTACTTAAGTCAAACATTTCAGGAGCCCACCTTGCCAACAATATTAGACTTCACAAAGGACAGGTCCCTGCTGAGCCCTGCTCTGCGCCTCTTCCACACTGCCCAGGGTTTCTGTTTGCTATTTTTCACTGCCACTTTCCAAGAGATCACTTTTGGAATTACTTTCCCACAGATGCTGAGCAGCCGCAGCAGATGATGGGTGCCAAGCCCAGAGTCACCCACAAGATTTACACTTTTGACAGGAGTACAGAGAAATCCTCACTAATGAAAGCATCAGCCTGAGAAATGGCCATCCCCATCCAGCTCTACAGCAGGATGGCCACCCCCATCTCACTCTGAGAGCTGGTACCAGGGCCCTGAGCAGCCCCACTTCTGGGTCGTGGTGTGGGTCTGAAGCAGCAGTAACTCCCACAGGTCCTGTGTGGAGCTTAGTGGCTTGAGAATTTGGAGAATGAGTAGTGGAATCGCTCACAAAACTTCACTGTCAAAACAAGACGTGAGCAAATAAATACACAACTGGGGTTTCCAATTAGTTGCATAGTGTTTTTCCATCAGTCTCCCTGGACTCTGCTCCAAGAGCTTTTGGAAGCACAGGCAATAGATGTTTCTTGCAAATGGGAGAAAGCCTGCTTTAAGTTAAATCTGTTCCTGACCCGATGGTGGCCAAGCCCTTGATCTTCTCCAGCAGAGTAGTTTTGCACACTCAGATGTGCTCCTGAGTTGCTGTGCTGTGACACCTCTTGAAACTAAGACTTCCATGTTATGGCTCCATCCCCAGGTTGAGGGTGTGTTACACTGCCTGTAAAAGATTCAGACTCCAGTGTGTTGATGAAACATATCCTTTATTGTTGTGCAAGGCAGGTGGATCTCATTCACAGGGAGGTCACGAGGATCTCACAGCTACTTCAGAAGAGTTTGAAGTACAGCCTGTCTCCCTTCACCTGGATACATCGCCCATGGAAGTCCCATGACTGAAACTTGCTTCTACCCTGCACTGGGAAGTGTCTTTGCTTCTCGGGAGGACAAGCTCAGGCCTTAAATCTTCCCATCTGAGAAACAAAATTTCCACACTGCTCCTAAAATCTGCCAGCATTCAAGTTCTTGCTTGTACCTGAAATCATGGAGTACAGATATAGGACTGGAGTCACATGGGAGAGGGTAAAAAACAAAACACAGCCCCAACTTTGACAGTGCAAGTCCTGCACCCAAAAATAAACTTGATTCATAGAAGACTGTGCCATGCTCAAACAGCTTCTCAACTTTCTCTGGGTTCCTTCAGCTTGTCTTTCCTGTTGGTGGAGCCTGAGCACAGATATGGGCTCTGATAAACTCCATGTACTGGCTTTTCCCCTGATGACGCATCAGCCTCGTGGAGCAGGGATGTTCATCTTCTCCAGAAAGCTCTCCTGGGTCCTCCAGCTGGGGTGCGGCTCCTTCTCCATCGCCGCAGGAAAAAACATTGGAGCATCTCCAACTCCTGTCAGCGATTGTGGGATGAGTTGTCACTCACAGTGAGCCCTGGAGACCTTCCTTCGAGCCTCCCTTAACTCCTGTCTGCTGGTTAAAAGCTTTGCTGGCAGAAATAAATGGGTCAAGCCATGCTGGTGACACCATGGGCAGGGACGTGGCTCGGATCTCGCAGCCTGAGTCACCTCCTTGAGCGGAATCGGCTCTATCAGGGAGGGATATTTCTGTGCTCTCCCAGCACGCTTTCTAGGACTTTGGCCAGCGAGCTCTGCTGGTGAGTGGGAAGCCTACCATGTGTCTGATTTTCCTGGATGTGCTTTCTCCAACAGCGCAGGAATTCTGCCCAGATGAATTTAGAGGCAGCTCAACACTTGTCTGGGGTTCCCAGATATGTGATATCTCTACTTGTGATAATCCAGATGTGGTTGCTGTTGCAATTCCTGATGCTCTCAGGGCACATACGCAGGGGTTTGCACAGTTCCCAGAAATCACTGCACCACCACACACTATACAGGGAATAACAAGCCCAGCAACAACTCTGATAGCCTTCAAAAAAAGTCAGATCCTTTTCCTCTCCATTCTTCTGACTCATCTGTCCAAGGATGGAAAGATCAGGGGGTAAAAAAATAAAAATAAAAACATTAAATGAGATTGTGTCTTTATCCAAGGTCTCCACAGCACATCAGGAATGTAGCACCGTTTGGTACCTCCTTCCCTGCAATGTGAGGTTCCCAAGGTTCAGAGGGTTCCTACTCTCTTGAGCAGAGATAGCAATGATGGGGAGAAGATGTACAAAAGCCTACACATCAAAATAATGAAATCCAAGTTCTCTTTGCTGGACTCACATCAGTTGGGTTAGTGTGCCAAGGCACTGAACACTCGATGCTTTTATTCTCGGGGTTTGTACACATTTTGTTGTATGCTTTGGGTTACTGGTTTGCTGAGAAAACAAATCCTCTTTCCAAGCTTCTTCCTTGAGCAGAACTATTTTTAAATGGTGATTTCTTTTTTTATGCTGCATTCTTCACTAGAGAAGCATATCAGTGCCTCCAGATGATGAAGGTATTTGTGACCGGGGACAGTGGAAACCAGAGGTTTTACAAAGTCACATGCCTTCAGCTATGCCAAAATATCCAAGGGAAGCAAAAAAATTACAATCTTAGGTCTAGCACATTTGGAATTTCATTGCCATCTTCACTAAGGACTCAGATTTATAAGGGTTTTTTTTAGTATGGCCTTAGATATTCCCCTAAGGGAAATCTGGGTGGTTTATTTTTTAATGCAAATTAGTTCATTTTGAAAGGAAAAAAAAGAGGCTTTCAGCTGCTGATGGCCTTGACAGCAAAGTCAGGTCTCTTGCACAGCACAGCAGTAACATTTACTGGGAGCAAAGAGATGAGCAGCTCAGCTTTAAATTCTCAGGACATCAACAGTTGAAATCTGTGTTCTGACAACAACATCCAGAAAAACAAAATGAGGAAGTTGAATGAACTGCAGAGAGATATGGCCTGAATGGAGCCAAACAACAAACAGGGAAAAATCCTGACCCAAACTTCCCCACACCCAGTGATGCTCTGCTACAGGCACTGGGTCCGGGGAAGAGATGTGACTCACCATCCTGGTTTGGCTCAGGGGAACTGTGGCTCTTGGCATTCCAGAGGGTAGATATGTTCCTGCTTTCCTTGCAGCCTTACAGCACAGCACATGAGGGAAGCTCTCAAGGGAACAGAACTGATGGGAGAACTTCCCAAAGCCTGTCTCAGACAGGCTCAGGATTGCTCAGAATTGCTGTGGAGCAGGAGCGTATTTTTTTTTGGGTGTCACTGAATGAAGGTCTGAGGTCACTCCTCCCAACCAAAAATGAGGCAGGAAGAAATAGAAGAACCAGAATACAACTACTGAGTAAAGAAAAAAAAGTGGCTATTGTGACAGGGGAAAAAAAAAGTGATAGTTTGAGACAGTGGATGTAGAAAGGGCAGGAAAACTAAAGCAGGAACAAAGGTAGGAAGCATGAACCATAGGATGACCATGCCCATATTGTCCAGGCCCAGCCAGTGAGCTCATTTAAAGGGAAATGAAAAAGCCCCACATAATTTCCTACCGCTCAGCAATGTCTCCATATGAGAACCTCCACTTAATAAACTTTGATCGAGAGAAGCCTCCCCCCATGGAGGACAGTTCACAAGCACTCAGGAAATTAGTGGGATTATTGGGGCCGGGCATTTGAAGACATAAATGTTTTGGATTTATAAGAAACACATTTCATAATCACTCTGCCTAGCAGTAGTTTGGAAGGGGAGGAGACAGGGCAGCAGCTCCTGAATGAGTATGGGGAAAGAAGAAAGACTCAACTGTTCTCGAGAAGAAAGACCTGATTGTACTGTGAGGTTCAGAGGGTTTCACTGGGATCACTGGGAAGTAATGGGCTCTTGGCCTGCTTGTGGAAACCCGA